TGCGGCACGGGGGCTGCCGGGGGCCACAGCCAGCGCAGAGTCAGGCACTGCCCCCACCACCCACCTGCACAGCCCTGTGCATCCCCTCAACCAGAAGCTTGGGCAGCCCGTTGGATGCACGTTGGTGGTGCTCCTCCTCCCCGAGCCCCCTGCCTGTCTTCCCCAAGGGGCCAGGCCCAGGCCAGTGAGCCGAGCCCAGAGGCAGTCCCTTCCTCTTTCAATGCCACCTCTCTTGAGCCCAGGCACCTGCTTGCCCTGCCCCAGCCCATCTTGATCGGGGGCCGCCTCCCGCCTCGACCTTCGCATCCCAGCTGGGTGGTTTCACCTCCATTTCCTACTCACTGTCCACCACGCAAGGAGGAAGGGCCCGGAGGCCGGGACGGGGCTGCACCGGAGAAACCAGGACAGGATCCCACACTGCCCCCAGAAACAACTCTCCTCACTGTAAAATGTAAAACAAGGGACTGGAAGGAACCAATCTGTGCAGCCCATGAGATCTGGAAACAAAACTGCCACCTGAGGGTGGACCAGGTCCCAGGGACCTCTCTGTCCCCGGCTAGCCAGGCCGTGAAGGGACGGCTGCATGGCTCAGCTGCCAAGTGTCCCTGGCTAAAGGAATCACAAGGACAATGAAGATGGCAGAGGGCTGGGCCCCAGGGCTGCCCTGACACCATAGGCCCTTCCAAGCACCGCCTGCAGATCACAGAGGGAGGAACAGACTGGCATGAGGCTTCAGCCCGTGGAGTTAGCCGTGGGCACAAGCAGAACAAACACCAAGTGGAGGTGTGGCTGCAGATGCCACCTGCTTTCCACAGACAGAAACTGAAGACTTGTCCGACTCTGCAACCCTGTAGCTGCTGCCTAGGGGAAGAGAAGGAAAGCCAGACGCCAGAGATGCTGTTTGCCAACTGACGCCCGTTACCAGCACGGAAAAAGCGAAGAGAATGGAAGAGAGAGAGAAGAGTATCCCTCAGCATGGTCAAGCCCTGTTTCGTTGTTTTGGAGTATGCATGTACACATGTGTATGTGTGCAGATACGTGTGCATGTGTGCACTGTGTGTGCATGTACCAGGTAGCAACACCCACTGCCTGTCCTGCTGTCTTGGTGATGGAGACTTGTGAGCCCTGACGGGGACACATTGACCATCTGTCTGTGCAGACACCCCTGCCCTCACCCCAGGGCCCTGGAGGCTCAGCAAGACAGAGATCTTCTGAGAAAAGCTCTACCACCTGCACCTGCCCCAGACGGGAGCCCCCAGTCACCTTCACAGACAAGGCAACCTCAGCAAGATGCTCCTTCCTATAAACCAAAACCTCAACAGGTAGAGAAAAATGTGACAGAGGCCACAGCAAGGACACACAACACAAGCGCTGCAGAGTAGGGAAGAGCCCAGAACAATCCTACCTAAGTCCCCGGCTGACTTGATGTCGATGTTGTCAAAGCCACTGCCAATGCGCACGATTATTCGAAGTGCCTTGAACTTCTCCAGGTCCTCTCTGGTCAGCGTGATGGTGTGGTACATCAGGGCCCCCACAGCCTCGTTCAGGACCTGGAGTGCACAGAAGACACGCAGCACTGAGCGTGGTGGGTGCTAGCCTGCAGCACGCTCAGCTGTTGTCCCGGTGGGTCTGGCACCCACACTGTGGAAGGTAGCATGTGGACCCTGGGGGAGCCAAGTGGCCGCTTCTCCCCAAGTTTGGCCTTGGGCTGGGCAGGCCAAGGTCCCGCAGCCCCCCAGGCAGTCTCCTGTGTGCACACGTGGCCTCGCTGGCTGGAAGCTGCCTGTGCCCCACTCCCACCCTCGGCTCAGCCCCATCAAAGAAACGGGGATCCCCACCCACTATCAACATGGGGACACAGGAGCTGGCACATAGCACTGAGGGAAGGACACGGGAAATGCAGCTCATGTTCTGTTGGCACTAGGTGCTAAAATAGGTGGAAAATGCTGCGTGTCGGGAGGACGCAGAGCACCCGAAACTCACAGACCCTGCGGGGACAGAGGGCTACAGCCTCTGGGAATGTGCAGGCTGACACAGAGGGGACCACCCTGTGACCCACCAGCCATGAGGGCTCGACTGCAGAAACACATGCACAGTCCCAGAGACGCCAGAGAGCCCTCCAGGACATGCTGCTCCCGACGGCCCAGACAAGACATGTGACCCGAGGCCTGGGGACACAGGAGGCCACAGGTGCACAAGCACATACCAGTGTGTGGGGCTCAGTCCTGTGCATGTGCTCACAGCTGACAACCATGTCTGCATTTCTGTACTTTCTGTGACGAGCCCCCACTGATGTATAACACCGTGCCAGCTTGGCATGTTTAGTCTTGTCCTGGGACGCAGCACGACAGCACCTGCTCCTCAACCCACTTCATCGTGGAGGCCTGGGCCAGTGCCCAAAATCCAGTCACGGCTGACCATCCCCTGCCCAGCAGCTGGACCTTGAGGGTGCTGCACATGGGGCCAGCAGGGAGGTGGCCACCAGCCCAGCCAGGGGAGCAGTGGGGGGGCAGGACACGTAACCGAACCCTATAGAGACTGTGCCCACACACAGGGCCAATACCGTGAAGCTGCGTCCATACCCAGTTGTGGTGGAGGCTCCACACGGGGACATTCTGAGCAAACAGCCTGGCTGGGGGACCAAGGGTGCAGGTAGGGCGGGCCGTGTCCAGGAAGATGTCAGAGCGAGCCCCCACGGGGTCATGACCTTCACCCGCCTCTTGTCTGGCCAGGCTGCAGGGCTTGTCCTCTCCTGATGGCACCTCCAGATTGGGGTTGCAGTGGTCACCAGGAGCCTGTGGCTGCGCCCTTGCCTCCCTCTCCTGTTCCAGACCAGAACTACACGCCGACCCCGGCCACTGTGCACAGGCTGCTAGATCTTGAGGCTCCAAGTGTGAGCTGAGAGCTAGCTGCACCCTGGACCCTGGACTTTGAGCAGTGGCAAGGCGGGTGGTGGGAGACAGATGCAACCGCCGCAGCTGCAGCCCCTCCACAGCCCCTGACCATCCCGTTGACTGGGACACGAACACAGACGGCTCCTTTTGAAGCTGGTGTGGCCTCCCTTCCCTCCTACTGGCTGGAGGGAAGGGCCATAAGGAAGACCGGGGTTGGCCTGAGCTTCTCCATAAGGAAGGGAACAGAGGGTACCATGGCACCTGCTCCTGCACCAGACGGTCCTGGAATTCCAGCCCCTGGAGGTCGGGGTGCTCTGCACGGCCGTGGACAGGTAGGTGGGCAGTTTTCATCAGCTTATGGATGGCTCCCTCCAGCCTCCCCGGAGGATGTCAATGCCGCACAGGTACACTGCTTGCCTGCACCCAATGTGCATGCAAGGACACGTGACCCAAGCAGTGTCGAGAGCCCACAAAGGGGAGGGGAGCCACCAGCTCACCAACAGGAGAGTGGACAGGATGTGGCAACAGCACAGCTGAGGCTGGGAGTGGGCAGCGATGCATGGCCAGGGCCTGGGGTGAGGGGTGGGCCAGGAAGACTCTCCAGTCACCCCGGGCTGCGTGGGCTGGATGTGGGGGGTGATCATGCCCGCCAGGGGGGAGGGGCATCGGGCACCTCAGCAGAGTGGCAACAGGTGAGGGAGGGACTGTGGGGCCAGTTGCTTGTAGACGAGAATTTGTAAGATTGTCAGATTTGCTGGCAGGCAGGGCACACGAGAAACAGGGGCAGATCTGGCACCAAATGTGAGCCCAGGAGTCCAGCCCAGGCAGCTGGATCCACGTGAGCCCCTCGCTGAGATATGCGTGTGAAGCAGGCTCAGCTGAGGACAGGCCGGGCAGCCAGACAGACCCACACCTCATAGGCTTGTGGTGTGTGCAGGTGACCACTTGCTTTCCACCCTGAGCACTGAACCGTCCTCAAAAGTGTGATTTGTAATGGCACCATGAAGGTCCCAACCCGCACAGCCACCCAGATCCATCTGCCGTCCCCACTATGGGGGCCTTCAGGTTGCGTCCAATGTCGGCTCTTCTGTGATAAAAATCCGCGTATCTGTTCACTTTCTTAAGTTCCTGGAAACGGACGCTAGTGTGTCTGCGGGGCTCTGGGCACTCCCGCCAGATGCAGCGACTGAGGGCCGGTTGACTTTCCATCACCAACACTGGGCATTCCGCAGCTTTAAGATGTAAGTCAGCATTGTCATCATAGCTTTAATTGGCATTTCTGAGTGTCACTTGTCCGTGTTAATTTCTTGGTTTTTTCCATGTCCTTGCCATTTTTCTACTGAATATATTCTTAATGGACACTACTAGGTGAAGGTATTCTCAGAACAGAAATCTGAACACCATTCAGAGACCCCACTGACCCCACGTACCAGGTGTGGGCTTTGCCATGTGGCAGCTGCATTGTCCAGAGGCCGCGGCACTGTGGCTGCTCCATCGTCCTTCTTGTGGGTTCCCTCCTGTGGTTGCATCAACCCCCCAGGGAGAGGGTCTGCAGCAGGTGGGGTGTGGACAGGTCTGTCCCTTTAGGTCAGAAACCAGTAACTTCGCCAAAGCCACCCTCAGCAAACATCCACTCAAATGCCAGCCTCCACCAACTGTGGGACCAGGTTAGGGACTCAACCCCAAACTGCTCAGTGTCACCTCCAGAATGGGGTCACACAGGTCCCAGCCTTGTGGATGCTCAGAGCACGCTGGCCTGCACTGAGTGCCTGATAAGGGGCAGCTGCCGCCTGGCTGGAAATGGGCCCCAGATGCTTGCAGTGGCAGCAGGTTCTGAGTGGAACTCATGGCATGAGCCCCAAACAAAGTCAGGGTTTGGTTTGCCAGCACCCAGCCAGGGCCTACCACAGGAAGGCCAGCCCTTTGCGTGTGAAGCCCCACAACATGCACCTCTTGCTCCCGAGGACCTTGTGACACCTCCCCTTACCTCTCCATCCGCGTGCACAGGTGTGGCTTGCTCATACCTGTCGCCATCGTTCTGCACACGTCTTAGAGATGGATCTACGTGCAAGCCCAGCGCACAGTGCTGGGCAGACTTCCCATGCTTTAAATTTTCACAGAAACTGCCAAAGCGCCATCAAGCCCAGCAGCAGCTGGATCCGCCCCATGCGAGGACGAGCTCGCGCTCCCTCTGCGTGGCCAATGCAGGGGTTCCAGGTCTGCTTGTGCTCCGGCCGATTACCAGGTGGTGACACCTGTACTCGTGAGCACGAGGAAGGAGCACACTGGATGGTGGTCGCTGTTTTTACCCAAATACAGCCCCCTCGCCCATTTTATGTGGGATTCTTTCTCCTGTTGATTGGGAGAAGTCTTGAACACTTTAGATATTGACTCTCAGGCTGTTACACAAATTGCAAATATCCAACCCATATCTCTCATCTGCTTTCAATTATTTTGCTACAAAACCGTTTATTTAATCAAACTGACCTTTTCCCTTATACGACCACATTTTCTGCATCACTTACTACGGCTGCTGCTCCACCATGACCTCAGGGAGTAAGCACAGACTGCTTCAGTTCTCCCGCGACGCCCTCGCAGCTCTGTTCACTCGTGACCCTTATCTCGACCGTGGGTGCTGCACTGCAGGGAGCTCCTGCTGATGTTTCTCCCGGTGGGGCCATCCAGAATTCAACAGCCCACACACCAGAAAAGCCATTTCTCATGTCCCTGAGTCCCCCCAAGTGGCAGCCATTTCCACATCCTCTGCCCTCTCCACTCACGGTGGCACTGACGCTACCTGACGACCTTCCAGACCCAACAGTGGGTCTCCAGGTCTGGCTGTGCCTGGTGGAGGGGAGGTGGGCACGGGCCCTGGCTCACAGTGAGGAGGCCTCTGCCCTCTGGGCTTAAGCCTAGTCCTGGAAATGACAGTAACTCAGTGTCAAGTCAGAGCTTGCAGCAGCCTGTCTCTGTAACAGCCGCCCCCATGGGACTGGAGCTCCAGGACCCTCCTCCACCCCACCACTCGCTACAACGTCAGTTTCTGTGTTTTTCTTGGATTTTTATCATTTCACTTCTTACACATGCCCAGTGCCTCTGTCCAGCGAGGACCTCCTGGCAGCCTGGAGATGTTCCACAGAACCCCTTTCCCAGAAATGACCCCTGGGGACCTCCTGCCCCTGCCCAGGCTCCTCCCACCGGCACCAGCCCCTCCTCCTCACCCTGTGGGGGCTGCTTCTTGGTTCTCAGGTCTGCCATCTTCTTGCTCGCTTTGTGGTCTGATCAGATGTGCAATCTGGGCTGAAAATCTTTCTCCCACAGGAGCAGTGTTGGGCTGGTCTGATTCTTGTCTCTTGCCGGGTGACATTCCCCACCCTGGCTGTTGGTAAAATCCTGAACTTGAACAGCAGAGTCCCTCTTAAGGCCCCCTCACAGTCTTCCTAGTTTGTGGCAAGAGAACTAACATTTCCATTTAGCTCTGGAAATTTCCCCTGATATCACTGCATTAAGGATATCATGTGAGTTCATACCTTGTGAAACATGTAGACAGTGTCCAACATCTAACTAGCTGTGAGGACAGTTTCTGCTCCAAGAGGCTGAAACTCCTGAATAATGGTGACGCATAAAACAGGCATTTATTTCCCTCCCACGCCAAATCCTGGAGACAGGTGCCCATGGCCCTATGGCACCACCACGGCCAGTAGGGTCCCAGGCTCCTGCCTCGTTGCTCCACCATTCCCAACATATGATCTTCTCTTCACGGCCCGAGGTGGCCACCCCGGCTCTGGCCATCACACCTGGGTTCCAGCCAGCAGGAGGAGAGGGGAAGCTGCACACAAAACTTCTGTTTACCTCTCCCTGTTGGAACGTGGTCACTTGGCCACACGCAGCGGCAGGAAAGCTTGGGAAGCAAAGTCCTTACGCAGGGCTATGAGCCTCCTGAGAGGCGGGAGTCTCCCAAGGGCAAGGAGCTCACGGTGGGCCTCCACTTCTCTCGTGTCTCCTCGCTGGGTCCACCTCTTTCTTCTAGATCTCCTTGACGATGTCTTCAAGCTTCCACTAGTCACATTTTCTTTGCTCATATTTTAATGTCCGAGAGCTCCTTCCAGTCCCCTGGTGATCCCTCTCACTACGTCCTGCTCGTGCCTTACAGTTCCGTGCTCCCTCACGTCTCCCTGAGCATGCCAACTCACGGTTGTCAACACTCCCCTCTACGCAAAGAAGAAAACTTGGTCCCTTGGGACATTTTCCCTATTTGCCTTCTCTCTCTGCCAGGCTTGGCCCCCATGGGCAATGTCCGTCAGGGCAGGGTCCCATCCCTGCCCCCACCCCCAAGGTCTCTGTCCAGTTATTTATTTGCATTTTACATTAACTTGCTGAGGCCACTTTGGTATATTACAGTTTTAGAAAAAAATGTTTTGTCTTAGTTTTCAAATTTATTGGCAAAAGTTGTTTCAGTATTGCTTATGATTTTGAAAAATTTCTGTCTTTCATCCCATATACATATATCTTTTAAATATCTCTTTAGTTTGAAATAGTTTAAGATTCACAAGATGTTGCCAGAAGAGTACAGTGGGCTTCTATGTGCCCTCGCCCAGTTCCCACAGTGATGATCTCGTATGTAATTGGGTGCGCAGTCGAAACCTGGGGGGCACAACACGATCGATGCAGGTGCACCTCTGTCAACTTCCCCCTTACCCTTGCACTCGTGTGTGTGTGTGTGTGTGTGTGTGTGTGCACATCTACGTGATTCTGCCACACTTTCCCTCAGGTAGCCACCAACCACAGCAGGACCGACCCTGGCCTGTCCCACATGCTTCCCCCACACTAGCCCCGGCTACTCCGGTCCCCACCGCTGTAACCTTGACTTGAAAATGAAGAGAACTATACAGCGTACAACCCACCAGGCACGACGCCACTGAGATCCATCCGACGTGTTGCAGAGGCAGTGGTTTGCTGCTTTCTGTTGCTGAGCGCATTCTGTGGTGTGGAGGGACTGAAGTCTGGGTAGTCAGTCGCCATGGAGGGACACCTGGGTTCTTCCTGGTCTGGGCTACTATGAATTGAGCTGCCACACACCTTCACGTGCAGGTTTTGTGTGGACGTGAGTTTCATTTCTCTAGGATCAACCTATGCCCCAGAGTGCGACTGCTGGATCGTGTTGTATTGCAAGTGCATGTTTACCCTTGCATGGGACCACCAAGATATCTCCCACGTGGCCGTCCCACCAGATGCCCCCGCTGTCTCGCTGCCTTTCTTAACACGCTGTTTTCTTCGATCGGTTTTGGAAACTCTTCCTCCGTTAGCTCATTCCGAGGTCTCAGAGCAGCCCCGTCCTTCTCCCCACAAGAGTCTGGACTGAGACTTCTGGCTCCTCTTCTCACCCGCTGATGCCCAGCTGGCTGTTAAATCTGTCCTGTAAATCCACACTTTTGGCTTTGCTATTTTTCAGCTCTACATCTTCTAACTTTTTCCCTCCAAATCTGCTATGTCACTTTTTAGAGTCATCAGCTCCTCAAGAAGTTCCTGAATTCAACTCTTCTGTCTCTGGCTGTGGTGGAAGCAGGTGCCCCACAGCGACTCCTGGGGCTGCTGGCGTCTTTGTTTCTGCTGGCTTCTGCTCACAGTATCTCACCCCCTTGACTGCCTGGTCATCTCTGACTGCATGTGATGGACACTGCACTAGAAACAATTTATAGAAACAAATGAGGCCTGGGCGGGTGCTATCTTCCCCTAAAGAGAGCTGTCCCACTTGCTTCTGCGGGCAACTTGGGCACTGAGGTGCGGGGCCACCCGCAATCCAAGTCCAAGGTTGACGTCAATGAAAACAGGCTGGACAGACCGTGTGAAGCACGTTTATGCCAGGTGTTACCCCACCGGGTCTCAAGCCAGAGCCTGAGGGCCCTGTCCTCGGCAGGCCTGTGATGCTGCCAAAAGCAGAATTCAGCCTCTTGGCTGCTTCCTCCAGAGTAGCAAGTACCCCAGTCCAAAGCTAGCAGGGCCCGTGCACTCCTGCAGATTCTGGGCCTCTCCTGGCTGCAGCCCATGACAAGTCCTCTCCTGTTAGCTCTTGGAGGCTTTTTAGGATTTTAAACAATTTTGCCCCGTGTCTTCATCTGTATTCAGTGGAAAGCTGCTCTGAACTACCTAGCTGGCTTATGAGTACAGGAAGAAGCCACGTTAACACATTTCACATCATGGAGGAACCCTTAAGTCTCCTGTGCAAATGTGAACTGTGAAAGCTGCCCCCAAACTGCCCACCGTGTGACCGCAGCCCTGTGGCGGTGGCATGGGTGGTGCCGATGCCCGTGTGGAGACAGTGCTATTGACTAGGGCCCAGCTTGAGGAGGAAGCTGATTCCGGCCTCCGGCACTATCCACAGCATCCAGCAACACAATCCAACATCCTGAGACTTGACTTTCTGGGAATAAACTGGTTATAATGAAAATGAATTAAGGAGCCACAGAGTAAATCCCATCTCTACCTCCTCACGAGGCCGGGTGACTGTCACAGAGGCCACTCTCATCCCAGGTAGCACTGACCCCAATGGTGGCCAGAGGCCAAGCAATGCGTGCCAGAGTCATATGGTACTCAGGCCATGCCCAAGGGACCTATACACACTGTACTCCCCTCCTGGCCTATCCAGCCCTCCACACCCCCACGTGAGGGTCTGCCAAGCCCAAGGCAGGGACACATGGCATTACCTTCTCATGGATCTCCTGCGTGGACTGCGCATCACAGAAGGCCACCGTGGCCACGTCCTTCAGGATCGGCATCTCCACCGTGCAGTCCCGGCCGTCCAGCAGCGCCACCAAGGGCCGGGGGTGCATGGGCCCGTTCATGATCGGAGGTCGGACGCCTGCAAGACAGGAGCAGCACCTGAGCATCCACAGTACAGCTCCACAGCTAAAACCTGCCGCCTGCTGCCTGCCATGCGCGGGACTCAAGAGTCAGCCCTGAGAACCTTCTGTGCTAACTGTCTAGTCATGTAGGTCTTTGTGAAAAGTAAATTAAAAATCAGTGGGAAAGACAAACTGGTGCTTGCTACAGCTCGCTGACGCCTGAGTGGACACAGACCGATGGTGACTGCCACTGTCCTTGACGGGCTACAGGGCCAGGGAGACGCTGGGGCACCCAGTGATGTGAGGATGGCAGGGGAAGGCAGGAGGGGCCTCCATGCAGCCGCAGGGTCGACACCGGAATATGCAGATCACAACCCAGTGGGCTTTAGGAAATGCCTGAGGCTGCCAGAATTCCTGGTGGGGCCACTGCTGTTGTTTCCACTTGCAGATTTGAAAGGCAAGAAACGGTGCAGGGGCAGAAAGGGTTAAACCCACCAAAACACTCACAGAAGCCCTTACTTTCCCAGAACAAGATGATTAAGAGCTAAAAACCAACTCCTTCCAAATATGGCACAACTAAACCTAGTTTGGGGCCAAGGCCGGGAAATCAGGTCTTCATAGGCAAGACACACGGAGGCAGCTGCCAGGCTGCTCAACGTCCTGCGTGGGGAGCAGAATGCACCGCTGGGGCCATGCTCAGCCTCACTGCAGCTAGGCAGCAGCAGAGCTGGGGGGGCCCGTCCCAGCCACACACACCCCTCCCCAAGGAGGAGAACCAAGAAGCGGAGGCTCCCACGGCGGCCCCTCCTGCGAGGCACGCAGCCGAGGCTCAGCTCAGTCTCCCGCCTGGCGCCCGCAGGTGTGCAGAGACAGGAGCCTGGGCCGCCGCCGGCCGGGAAGCAGGCAAACACCTATGCACCTCACGGAACCCACGTTAGAGAAGAGCATCCCCAGTCGACAGGCCAGGCCGTCACCACCCACACACACACCCACCCACACAGGCCCCCCTTCCCCAAGGTCCACGGCCTGACCTGTCCCTGGAAGACCACAGTGGCGCTCCACCCCCTCGCCTGCATGAACCAACAGTAAAGGCAGCGAGACCCGCCCCAGGCCAGCAGCCCTCAAGGTGCGGCATCCGCAGTGCCTGCCTCTCTCTCTCTTACTCTCCCTGGACTGGAGCCCTTCCGAGGTGCAACCGCGGCAGCTGCCAGTCGCACACACCCAGCCACTCCATCGTGCCACTCAGCAGAGAGACGTGCACACAGGGCCACCCTTCTCTCCAACGTGGGAAGGACTCGCTTCTCATGTAAAAATGTTACCTGTGTTGACACATAACAGTTTACCATTGCTATTTTTAAGTGGATTGACCAGGCCTATTTTTAGCATTCCTTAGTTTTAATTTCTGATAAGGTAAACGTGGACACGCATGACCCACATGCACAAAAGCTCTCAGTTCTCAGAGCGCAGTCTGAAGCCAGCACCTGTGGTAGCAGACACCTGGGCATGGACGTGGTCACTCAGCTGGCAGCCTGGACAGAATCCTGACGCCAGACACGTGGCCTTCCTCGCTGCTGTCAGTGGAGCTGCTCCATACCACAGTGCCGGCATTCTCCCTAAGACAACCCATCCCTGGGCTCGGGGACGTGCCCTGGGAGGGCGGCACTTCGAGATAACACTGGCCACTTGGAATAAGTCCCGGCAGCAAAGTCCTAACCCAGGACTGTGCTTACTGACTCCATGCCCACCCAAGGCCTGAGACGCAACAAGAAACAATCTCACCACTGACCCACGGTCCTGCCTTCTCCTGCTGTGGCTGGGCAGGTGGGTGGCGGGGATTCTGGGGTCTCCATCTTGGGCTCTGTGAAGACTCAAGGACACATGCTCGCTCCACTGCAGGTAAGACCTGGTCTCAGCACCCACCTCTGCACCTCTTAGGACATTTTCCAACAGAAACGAACCCACTGCAGCAATCGCCGTGTGAAGTACCGACCACGGCTGTGCTCTGCCACCCCCTGCTGGGCAGCCACCAGACACACAGGAGAACCTCCTTCCGTGGGTGGCATCTGTCCATACCCCAGTGCCCACACTGTGGAGACTGGGGGGCCTCCTGACGCCTACAGAGCCTGAGACACCCCGACTTCACAGGACAGCGAAGTGGCATTCGCAGAGACCAGCATCAATCTACTGCAAACTCCAAGGAAGCCTACCAACCTGACATTTCTTAATATGGGCTCGGTTTCCACGACCATGAATTCGACTTTTCAAAGCTTTTTATCTTCAGAATCCCCAGGCAGAACCGCGTCCTGTCTTGGATCCTCATCCCACGGCTTTAATTGTCTCGAACCAAAGCTCTCAGGCTTCTGATCCACAGCAACCACCGAAGCCTGCGTCGGGCTCAAAGTCTTACTAAAAATCAAACACAAGAGACACATTAAAATGCCATCAAGAGTCCGACTAAAACTCACCAACTCCAGGAAATGCCACAGGGGTGGAGCATCTCCTACATCCACCACCTGCCCAATGCGGCATCCCGCCACCTGAAACGCAGGGGCTGCTGCCGATTCAGGGTCCCCTGCTCCCACCCAGAATCCATGTTCCAGGCCTGAGGCCCCTAGTGTCAACTACATGGGGTTGGGAATGGCTCTCTGGGGGCTGCAGCAACCCCCCACGGGACTCTGGCCCCACCTAGACACCACTGGTGTCCAGAACCAAGAGGCGGAAGGCATGGTGTGTGCAGCTGGCACAAGGTGTGGGGTGAGGAAACTGCAGGAGAGGGTCTGCCTAGACTCCCCGAAGCCTCTGTCTTACACTGCCAATTCCTGGAACTCGGTGGCCAAGCAGGGACACTGGACACCAGGGGATGTGGGGGCTGGCTCTCCAGTGCCCACCTGGACTGCACACCTGGGCCCCACAGCCCACCCTGCCAGCCCCATCTGCAGCCCCCACATGCATGTCCCGGCTAATGTTTACATGATTCTCCCAAAAATGCTGCTCAGATCTCCCTGACCAGCCACGGCCAGGGCCTGGCAAGCCACCGAGGGTGTAGGCTGTGATACAGGCAGAGGGACAGCAGGAGGGGTCCCCCACTCCCTGCTTTGGAAGGGGCTGAGACCTGTTGGGGATGCAGCTGCAGCAGGTTGGGAGGGGTGGGGAGCCTGGGGGTGAAACAGATCACCCGACCCCCCAGAAGGGTGTTACTGAGCCACCCAAGTGCCAGGTCCTGCTCTTGGCATGAGGACACCAATGTGCGCTGGACCTCAGACTGACCAGGATGGAGGCCCAGCCACGCCATGCCCGCAATGCACAGGGTGGGCCTGAAGAAAAAGACCCCTCAGGCAGCACCTCTGACTGCTCAACAAGGAGGGGCCGTCTGACTCTCCCCAGACCGAGAGGTTGTGCCCAGGGCCTAAAAGCCCTCACTCCCTACAGACACCACAGGTTCAGGGTGAGGCCTGCCACCCGGTGTTTAGTTCTCGTTTGTGGCCTCTATCCCGAGAACAGCATGGGGGCAGGCAGGCTCCACCTTGGGACAGGCCTGCCTACTGCCTGCCCCGTCCTCAGGCCACAGCTCACCCAGGAGGCAGCCACCCATCCTCCCTTGCTGCTGAGCCCCTGCACCCCTGAGACAGCCATTGTCCAGGCCTGGAGCCCCAACTTGGCGCTGCCCAGGGGCCCTCAGGCACCTCGCATCACTCCCAGGAGCTGGTCTGCCACAGCCCCCACAGCCGGCCAGGTGGGGGTCAAGGACTCCATGCCCACTGAGGACACATCAGTCCGTCCCCATGTGCTCCGAGGTCAAAGGCACACACCCCAGATGGGGCTGCATGGCCCTAACTCAGGACCACACTGTGCTCTCCCTCCATAGAAACACAGCTGCAAACATCTCCCAGCATTACAAGTGGTGCGTCTGAAAACACACAAAACAGGAAATCAGAACGCTTTACCCTTGCACACACCAGTCCCTCCTGCACCTCATTCCATAAAGAACACGCTCCACGCATCATGAAACAGTGAGTCCCTCGGCAGGCTCACAAACCAAGACGCAAACCTCCTGGGGCTGTTCTGTGACAGGGCGCCACCCACAGCAAGCCCAGGCTCCTGGGGCTCGAGCTTGGCAGAGGCCTCTCACCACAGGGGCACAGCAGGCACCAGAGGTGGCAGCAGGGCGAGGCCCAGGGACAGCAGAGGAGGTGAGGTTGTGGCTGGCCTGCGGGAAGCTCCTGGCCAGTGACCGTCCCCTCCCAGCCTAGCCTCTCCCCTACAAGCTGATCTCTGCAAGAGGAGCCGTAGGAAACAAGCCAGCTATATAGAGAGATGGTGCAAGGTGCCTGGTCAGGGGCAGCACAGAGGCCACCAGGCACACAGGCTGCCCCAGGCCTCAGCTGCCTGACAGGGGCACCCACACCCCCGGCTCCTCCTATGCATGGGGCTGAGCACCCTGCAGGTGTGGCCTTGCTCACATCACACTACCCAAGGGGCACCCAGGACTGATGGGAAACCCTAGAGCTGTGGCAAATATGCACTTCCCAACTCCAGCTGGCCACGAGAAAGGGGGTGCACTGGCCTGCAGGTGGAGTCTCCAGGGACGTGGGGTGGGGCCAGCAGCACCCACCAGCCCAAAGGAGCTCACAGCTCCCACCCTGTGGTTGTGAGTTGGCAGAAACAGGAAAGACCCTATAAGATCCACAACCCCAGAAGTCCAACCAGTTCCACCATCTCCTCACGTTTCCTACTTCTCTCAAGCTTGCCCAGCACTTACCCCAAACAGGCCACGGACAGTGCAGAGGAAGCAGCTCCCCAGGCACCCATGGGGTGTGATGGGGGTTCCTAGTGAATGATACACGTGGAGTGAGGTGCGTGGAGGAGGAGAGAGAGAAAGTGGAACTGCCAGTGCTCGGGCTGCCTGCAGCCTTTTCTCTAAGAGACTGTACAACTCAGCACAAGTTGTGCCAGAGTGAGGGGGTGTCCTCCCGGCCCTGCTGGCCCTCGCCGGTCAACAGCGTCACTGCACACCCACTATGTGCCCTGAGGCCCAGATGGGCCCCTGCCCTGCACAGGCCTGGGCCTGCTGCGTCCCCACAGCCTGGTGAGAGGAAGCAAGACCCCAGGGGCAGGTTGAGTGCCTCTCCCTGTACTCCTCCACGCCCACCACCACCAATTTTTTATTTCAAAAGGGAAGCTGCCAACGCCTGGACCCCAGTTCACGAGCGTGTGAGCGGCCTAAGGGGGGACAGGGTGAGCTCCCACTCTACCTCCCTGAGGGTAGTGGGTGACAGACACTCTGTAGGCTGCACTGGGGGCCTGGACTTTGTGAGGGGGCCCCAGGGCCCCAGCAGGTCTCACCCCCACACTGGGGTTTTAAAGAGGCCCCACAGCTCAGCTGTGCTGCACACACCAGGATCCACTCTCTGCTCTTACCCCGGCCAGCCCAGTGCCCTGCAGGCCACCGACAGCTGTCAACAGTGATGGCAGTGACCATGAGGGCCACGATAGCCTTGGAGCAGGGTGCCACGTCCCAGCAGCAGTGGGTGACTGGGGGTGGAGGAGCACTCGTGGGGTGAAACCACTCAACTCCATCTGTTTCCAGAAGTAGGCCAGACAAAAGCCCCAGTAAGTGATCCCTACTCAAAGTGAGGACACGAGAGCTACACTGACCCAGAGCAGCAGCAAAGGCCCACCCCGCCCCAAGAGCAGGGGCAGCCCCGCCCTGCCCGCCCCCTGCCCAGCTCAGCTGCAAGCGGGGCCTGTGACCCAGGACGGGGTCATGGCTGCAAGTGCCCCCACCTGCTCTCCTGCCCCAGAAACTGGAGCCAGCTTGTTCAGAGGGAGGCAGCCTAGGCTCATCCTTGAAGCAGGCCCTGCACAGAGGCTGGATGGGGGCTGGGCAGGTGGGACATCGGCCTGACGCCCTAGGGACAATATACCACAGGGACAACTCCAGTTCTCACTGGGTACGGGGCCCCTCCTGGCAGCCCTGAGCCAGTACTGGCACCCTAGTACCCTGTTCAGGGATGTCTAGGGCTCGGGGACCCACTGGCACAGGCACAGACATGCTCTTGCATCTGAAATGTCCCCACACGTGGCTGGTCAGCAGGCAGGGCCTGGTGGTTGAGGTGTGGGCTCCAGCCCAGTACAGGGCCCTGAGTGCTACAGAAAGGACTGCTCGATCCTGACCCCTTGGCCCCACCTTGGAGCCCTCCCATCAATTCACAACAAACCCAAGCTCCTGCACAGGCAGCCTTGTCTCCCTCCCGCCCTGCCGCTCCTGGGCACCCCACACCCCCTCCCAGCCTCAGCTGCACCCCAGCTCTGTGGGGCCCTGGTGCCCACCTCAGCATCTGGAGGGATCCTCCTGTGAGGAGCCAGAGACCCACACTCAGCCACGACGAATGGTAAAAGAGAAAGGCCCCACCACGTGCTGGTCCGAGGACCACAAGGCAGGACCCTCGAGCTGAGGGAATCCCTCTGCCCGCCACCCCCAACCCCAGCCCAGCAGAATTGCGGGAGTGTGGATTGCAGCGGCCAACATCCTACAAGCAGAGGAGACGGATGAGCGCTGGCTCCACAGTGGACGGCACAGGACCACAGGGCACTGAGGACGCCCACACATGTCCCGTGGGCAACGTGCTGCAACGAGTGTGCCACATTAACCAAGACACTAATGATTGGGATGCTGGGTGCAGATACAGGGAATGAGGAACAACCTTCATCCTCGTTCTGTAAATCTAAAACAGCTCTAAAATTAAAACTTTATAAAAAAAAAAAATGCAGGATGAGGAACAGCAGCCCCTAGGTTCTCTGGGGCAGCCCAGGGCCTCCTGCTGGTGGGCCATCACCCTCACTTCCTCCATCGACCAACTGCCTGGTCCCCCTTCCCATCGGCCACACCTGCCCCACGCAGCCCTGGGTGTGCATGGCCCCGGCTGCCTGCCGGGTACAGCCACTCTTGGGAGGGACCAGGGATTTCACGGGGGCGGGGGTCACTGAGGCTTGCAGAAAGCCCAGGGGGCCCCAAAACACACCAGGACAAGCTTGGGGCCACCTCCACCCACAGGCCACACAACTCCACCCACAGACTGGCTCACATTTCCCTCCAAGCTCTGATATGATATAAAACTCAACTGTCCAGACCTGCCCCCAAGACAGCCCCTGCATGTTCCCAGCCTCAGTCACAGTCCCCAGCCCCACCGGCTCAGACTCAGAAGCCACCACTGCTGTCACCCCACATCCCTCCAACGCCCAGTCTCCTGGTACTAGACCACGGCCTCTGGCCAGGACACTAAATCATGAGCCCCCTCCTCGCAAAGCCCCCTTGCAGCACCCCCAGCAGCCAGAGGCTTCAGAAACAAAAGCCAGAGCACACCATGTCCAATAAGACCCTCCAACTGTGTCCCTCATCCTGGGAAAGAAACCAAACTCAGCTCAGCTCTTCCTCCTCCATAAAGCCACAACCCAAGAAGGGCCCCCAAGAACTGGAAGGGCACCCCTCCCTCGGCTGTGCCCTTACCCCTTTCCGTCTCCCCTTCACTTCATGCCAGCAGCCTTCTCTAGTGACAATGCTGTCCTGCGGCTGGTTCTCCGAGCAGAGCCACCTGGGTGTTATGAGACGTGCCTCTTGTTGCCCAGGCCTGGGGGCCTGAGGACTAGGGCCTGGCTACGCTGCCTGGGGCCCAGACCCTTCTAGGCCCTGGGATGGAGCCACCTGCTCCTGGCAGGAACTGGACCTCGGCCAGGCAACCGGCACCACTGCCAGGCCCAGAGAAG